TAAACTGCCCCTACAGTAACTCAACCAGGTGGTTCTCAACCACCGGGTCGCAGTACTAATTAACTGACCTGGAAACAGTTCTTTTTGTCTTTGTTGACGCTGCTGAAGAAGATCTTTGTGTCTTTCTTCAGTTCCTGCCAGAACATCAATGTTGTGTTCAACTAATCAGGCTCAGTCTGGAAACTGTCAGAAAATGGAAAACCAGAAGGTGAATATGTTTCACCAGATGTGGTTTTTTGGTGATTTTTATACATTTATATATAAACAGAGTTTATGTGAAGAAATAATTGTAAAGAAGTAAAGGTTGAAAAAAGAAAACACTCTCAGCCACATTTTTGTTTTCTGATTCATAACTTCTAACTTTAGCTCTTATTCATTCATACTCCAAAAAAAAAAACAGCCTAACAACAGTGACCTGCCCCCTACTGTCCTGTCTTGTCCACTCCCCCCACATCCGGTCATCCCTGCCGTCCGTCATCACTGAGAAGTTACACTTCACTGATAAGACTCAGAACAATGGTCAAGGGTGAGCCAAGTGTCCAGACGCCGTGTGAAACAGGGAGTTTATCATAATTGCTGTTAATAATTACAGTCGCGATAAGACACCGCGCACCAGGCGTTTATCGGTGCCAAAACGGTCCCAGGTTCCAGTTGACACCCAGGAACCGGAGGAGCGAGGAGTGAACGCAGGAGCTCCGGCTGTGGGACTGATCGGTACTGAAGTGTCAGGTAGGTCGGCTGAGCCCGAGGACTGACGGTTAGAGGAGGGTTAGTGAAGAGTTAGTGAAGGTTAGTGAACATTGATTTCTTCTCAGCTCCAGGTGAAGGGACGTTGATTTCTTCTCAGCTCCAGGTGAAGGGAGTCAGTGTTTCTTTTTTCCTTCCTTTAATTTAGACACAGGTGTTGGAGTTCATGTTTAAACTCTCTGGTTCAGAGAAGTTCTGCTCAGGTCTGTCTTCAGACTCTGGTCCTTCTGGTCCAGACTGTGGACGCTGCAGGTCCTGACCCCGCATGTTTGTCTGCCTGTTGTTCTGAGAGATCTGGACCT